AAGTGGCTTCAATTCAAGCTGAGGGCCCACTGGGGCCAGATGGAAAGAAGTCCACTTCTGGGGCGTTTATAAGCCTGGAGGAGGTTGAGAAAGGCTGGGACTCAGGCCCAGGTTATGGGAGGAGCGAGCCTGGCTCCACCTCCACCGGAGGTGCCCTGGGAGCTCTAGAAGAGTGTGAGTGATGCTCACCAGGGTTACCCACCTGAGTAAGGTGAGAGCAAGCCTGTAACCGAGCTCTTCCAGCCCAGTCTCTTCTGGGGCTCCCCCATCTGCAGCCACATACTGCACACCAGAAAACAGAGCCGGAGCCCTGCAGAAAGGGAGAAGCAAGGGAAGCCCACATCTCTCCCAGGGTCATGGGCTTCCAAAAGGAGCTAACTCTGGATGGTTGTTGGGACATGTGTTTTATTTCCACCTTCTTATAGTGGCAGGTGTATTATACTTAAAATTAGAGGATTTGCACAGTATTTGAAAATGCAGAATAGTATTTTCTAACTCCCATTTGTATTTATTTCCTTCCATTTTCTTTGCTACACATACACACATTTAACATAATTGGTATCTTCGGTATATACAGATTTATTTATTTATTTATGAGACAGAGTCTCACTATGTTGCCCTTGGTAGAGTGCTATAGCATCACAGCTCACAGCAACCGCAAATTCTTGGGCTTAAGCAATTCTCTTGCCTCAGCCTCCTGAGTAGCTGGGACTATAGGCGCCTGCCACAACATCCAAGTATTTTTTTGTTGTAGTTGTCATTGTTGATCTAGCAGGCCCAGGCCGGATTGGAACCTGCCAGCCCCGGTGTATGTGGTTGGTGCCCTAAGCACTGTGCTACTGGCACCAAGCCATTTATACAGTTTAAAACCCTTGGTTTTTTCCAGTTCATGTTATACAAGAGACTGTGGCAATCTTTATTCAAGCATATGACAAGATGTTATATGTAGCCACTGATAATGGCTACATAAATGATATTATACAGCTATAACAAAATTTATTTAAGCAGTTTTCTGGGGCTAGATGTTTAAGCTGCTTCAAATTGTTTGCTATTTTACATGAAAACTGTATAGTTATTTTAGCTATCTTTCTTTTTTTTTTTTTTTTTGAAGCAGAGCCTCAAGCTAGCCCCCTGAGTAGAGTGCTGTGGCATCACAGCTCACAGCAACCTCTAACTCCCAGGCTCAAGCAGGGCTCATGCCTCCACCTCCCAAGTAGCTGGGACCATAGGCGCCCGCCACAATGCCCGGCTATTTTTTGGTTGTAGCCATCACTGTTGTTTTGGTGGGCCGGGGCTGGATTAGAACCCGCCACCTTAGGGTATATGGCTGGCGCCTTAGCCACTTGAGCCACAGGTGCCAAGCCTATTTTAGCTATCTTTCAACACCCGGTTCAATTCCCACCTCCTCCAGAAAGCCTTCCTGGACTACTTCAGCACTCACCAACATCTCCTACCTCTGAATTAACAACTTGTGGTCCATGTAACATAGCTTAGCATAAATTCTGCACTGTCTCACAGGTAGTGGGCTGATCTCAGGTCCAGGATTCCATTGCACATATCCTAGGGAGCCTCCAAAGCAGCTTGTACACAGCAGGTGCTCAGTACATACTAACTGCTTAGGCCCCAGCCCCCTTAGGTTAATGGTCAGCTTAGTGGTCAGGTCCACTTTCCAAGAGTAGGACTTCAGGTGCCCCCAATGGCCAGGTTTGATATTTTACTTCTTTTCTGGCCACTGCAGAGCACAAAGGCTCCTGTTACTCAATTCTAACTTTAAGAGCCCAGTCCCTCCACATAAAAGTCTTGAGCTTCAAGCAAGATTCTGTGGCTAAAGAGTCTCCCAAGTCGACCAGAGCTTTGTTGTGCTCTCAACTTGGTGATGAACCATCTGCTCTTATCTCAGGGCTGCACGGTAGAAAGAGAGTATAGGCTCTGGTGCTAGATACTCTGGGTTTCAATCCCAGACATGGTGGAAGTCTGGCAGGGAAGCCAAAGGCCTGCTTGGGTTCTTTGGTGGGCATGGTCCCCAGACAGCACGGAGGATCTGGTCCCAGCACACCATACCCTAGCTGACATGCACACTTCACTCAGGCAATTCTCCATCTGGCCTACAAATGCATCTGAGTTTGCAATCTCTGGTCCAGAAGGTGAAGCCCAGACTCCTCAATACAGCCGTCCAGACTCTCTGTCTGCCTGGCACTATCTTCACCACCTCCCCCATGATACAGTGGCAGCTCAGCTCCACGCATCCCTCTCACTGCCCAGAGCACCTGCCTCCTCACTGCTGCCTCCTGAAATACCCCCTCACATAGCACCCTCCCCGGGAAGCTTCCATCACTCCCCTAGTCAGAAGTCAGCTTTCCCTCCCCTGCCACCTCTCCACCCTCCCATATCTGGATGAGATGCGGCTTCACATGTCCTTCTCCCTTGTGACATTTTAAGGTAGGGATAGGTTACATACTGCAGAGATCTGTCCATTTGCACTGAACTCCCTATTGTTTTTTGGTTTGTTTTCTTTTTTTTTTTGAGACAGGGTCTCACTATGTCACCCTCAGTAGAGTGTTGTGGCATCACAGCTCACAGCAACCTCAAACTCTTGGGCTTAAGAGATTCTCTTGGCTCAGCACTTGTGGCTCAAGCGGCTAAGGCGCCAGCCACATACACCTAAGGTGGAGGGTTCAAATCCCCAGCCCAGGCCCGCCAAACAACAATGATGGCTGCAATCAAAAAATGGCCAGGCATTGTAGCGGGCGCCTGTAGTCCCAGCTACTTGGGAGGCTGAGGCAGGAGACTCGCTTGAGCCCAGGAATTGGAGGTTGCTGTGAGCGTGATGCCATGGCACTCTACCCAGGGGGATAGCTTGAGGCTCCGTCCCCAAAAAAAAAAAAAAAAAAAAAGAGATTCTCTTGCCTCAGCCTCCCAAGTGGCTGGGACTGCAGGCGCCCGCTGCAATGCCTGGCTATTTTGTTGTTGTGCTGTAGTTGTCATTGTTGTTTAGCAGGCCCAGGATGGGTTCGAACCCACCAGCCCTGCTGTATGGGGCTGGCACCCTAACCACTGAGCTACAGGCACCAAGCCTGAACTCCCTATTCAAAGGCAATGAGAAGCAGGCTGAATAGATAGATAGATAGCTGGTTGGCTGACACCTGGGCAAGGTACATTTGCATAGAGGAAGACTTAGGTCCCACTGCCAGCTTTCAGAGATGAATAAAGGTTAAAAATTAAAAATATTTATAATAGAGTGGCACCTGTGGGTCAAGGAGTAGGGCGCCACCCCCATATACTGGGGGTAGCAGGTTCAAGCCTGGCCCCAGCCAAAACTGCAAAAAAAAAAAAAAAATTCATAATTAAAAAAAAAAAAGTATTGGCTCCCTGTATGCCAAGCACCTTACAGACACTGCAATTCCTTCTAACCACCCTGATGACACACAACTACCATTCCCCATTTTACAGGTGAAGGAACAGAGGCTCAGGGAGGCTAAGCAATCTGCTAAGATACCAAGCAAATAAGTGGCAGAGTGGGGATTCAGATCCAGGTCCCTGTGATCCAGAGCCTGGGAGAGCCTTGACCAACCATATTAGTGAGTAGTGTAGAATTCCAGAATCCATCACTGAGGACCCACAGCCACCAGATCACCAGCTTAAGTCTACCTAACACAAACAACAATCTGCAGTGAGCCCTCTGGCAGAGGAGGTGCCTCATCTCTCACCTTAGCACATCTCAGCGAATACTTCCACGTGATGACAAAGTGCCTGACCCTGCATGAGGCTGTGTTTTTGGGTGGGGAGTACAAATGACCACAAGGTCCCTGCCCTTAAGCCTTGCTTGGGGAGGAGTGGAGGAGGCTGGGCTAAGGGCTTCTTGGAAGAAGAAGTAACAAGTAATACTCACCCTGAAGGCTGGGTGTCCCTCCACTTCCTGGACCACCACTCCAACCTCAGGAGCCTATATTCCAGACACACCTGATGAGTGTTCCTCACTGAAATGCCCTACATTCCAATCCCTGGGTCTTTGCTAGTCAGTAACCACCATGGAAATGCTCCTTTGTGAGACACAGACACAGATACACATAAGCACACACAACCTTACTGCCTGTTAAATTCCTCTTGTGTACCAAAGGCCTAACTCAAATTCCATCCATCCATCTGCATGATCATCCCCAAGGCAAGCTCCAGCCCTCCTGGTTCCCACAACTTGCCTATGGTTCTCCAGTGGTGCCACATTCTAGTAGGTGAAACATACACACAAACACTCACATGCACACACACAGGCACACAGCTAACTGCGCTATACCCCCTGCCATCTCTTGCATACTGCAGATGATCGATAAATGTCTACCAAATTCAATCAGATGGGAAGATCTGCTTAAATGCTTCAAGTCTTGGGTTGACTGGTGGGATAAAATGCTATGACCAGCGGCACCTGTGGCTCAAGGGGTAGGGTGCCGGCCCCATATGCCAGAGGTGACGGGTTCAAACCCAGCCCCAGCCAAAAAAAAAAAAAATGCTATGACCAATTCAAAGCAAAAACCATAAAACATTATTCAAGTGAAAGAATGGAGTGTAGAGGAGCCTCCCTATTGGGCAACCTCAAAAAAACCCACTTTGCTGTTGCTCCTCCACCCCTTCCTCACCTGAAGACTAAGGAAGCCGTGCCTGGCAGGCCTCATTCATTCCAGGACAGGCAGCCAGCACAGGGCCTGATACCGTGAGGCTATTCCAGACTTCCAGCTGGTCTAAAGGCACACACACTCAGCAGTGCAAGGGCAAGTAGACAGGCCCAGCGATTTTCAAACCTCTTTGACCATGACCCATAGTAAGAAATATGTCTTACACTGAGACCCAGTACACAATAACTACAAACTGCTGCATTGACAGTTCCACAACACACCTCGTGGGATGAGGGCACACATGAGACTGTCTCTTTCCTCTCTTCTATTTCATTGCTAAGTTCACCTCGCCACCACTCCCAGGGCAGTTGGGAGATTCCTGCCCTCACTCACCCAGGGTGTCAGAGCCGCTCTCCACCGTCTCGTTGACCTTCCTCGCTACTCTGGCCACAGCCTCACCCATCTTCTTCAGCATGCAGACGTGGGTGTCCTGCTGCCAGCCCTCAGGCCGGTCTACTGCTCACAAAGGGGCCTGTGCCTGGGGAAGACACAGGGCCATGAAGTGCCCGTCTGTCAGCCAGGTCCCCAACCCTGCATTCTCCCCCAGCAACCTCCCCTCCTAGGCCCCAAGCTGCCAAGATGACAGCACAGAGGGCCCCAGGCCACTCACTGCTTCCTGCAGAGCCCAGAGCCCAGGCCACATCCACCACAGCCTCTGGAGGAGCTGATCTGCCTGTCAGAGGGTGGAGGCACTTGGGCCCTACCAGTGTTCTGGGAGGATCAACATGTATGACCTCACTGGACTCAGGGTCCAGGCCTGAGCCAGTGGCCAGGCAGGTGTGAGGACTCAGGTGTGCACTGGCCTGTGACTCTCTCAATAGGCGGGGCATTAGGGAGGAGGCGGGACACAGACAACTCCAGGGGAAAGACACCTGGAGCCAGCCTCTGAGCTGGCGCCCTGTCCACACCCCTTAGGACAATTCCTTCAGCTCCCCTGTTTACTCCACCCATATCTGCCAGGCTCCTTGTGGATGGCAGGAAGTGGGGATGCAAAGGCAAACTAGAGCCCCGTGAGCCTATCAGCACTCCCAGGTGGGGTTGGGGGGGCAGGCGGGGAGGGGGCAGGATGGTCTCTGTGAATTCCCTTCCATGTGTTAATAAGGCCTGGGGATTTACAGTTGGCCACAAGATCTGATTATCAGATGATGCTGAGTTTATCTGCAAGAAAAAGGAGGAGGAGGGAACAGAAATGAGAGAAGGGAAATTGGATCACTAGGGGAGAAGCAGCTAAAAGAAGGATGAGGAAGACAAAATGATAAGGTGTTAAGACACAAAGGCATAGAAACATTACTAATTCCCAATTTACTACACGGAAGGAAACTGGGGCACAGAGAGAAGCTAAGTGACTTGGCCAAAGTAAAAATGAGTAAGTGGCAAAATCGGGTCAGCCCAGCTCCACATTCAGTGCTCACTTTACAAAAGCCACGCATATTACCAACAGCAGAGTTCATTCTACTGACAGAGGAGTGAACTTGAGGCCAAGGTCAGCAGCCTTTTTTTGCCTCAGACCTGAACCCAGTGGTTCTCAACCTTCCTAATGCCGTGCCCCTTTAATACAGTTCCAATAGGTCATGACCCACAGGTTAAGAACCGCTGCCCTAACCCCAGCTTCACAGACAGCTAGCTCAAGGAGCTCCAATGAACTTGCTCAAAGGGCAAAAGGTAAAGGATTGTAAAGGGCAGAAAGAAGGGCCAGGGGAAAGTGCTCAGAGCTGCTAATAGATACAAAGAAAAAGTTCCCATGTACTCAACTAGATAAGTAGACAGGTGAGGCCAAGCTGGAGCTGGCTCATAGTGTGAATTTAGTATATATTTGTGTTTCATTAAGGAGGCTGACTCTGGAGGTTTGATACACATGGTGCGGTGGGGGAAAACTGCTTTATGGAGACATGTTTAAGGCCCAAGTCAATCATTTATTAGCTGAGAAGCCTTAGGAAAGTTTCTTAACTTCTCTGAGCCTTTTCTTCATTTGAGTAGGAGATCTAATAATACCAACCTTAATATGAGGACTGATCTATCTATCTACCTACCTATCAACCTCAGAGTCTAGGACATATAAGTAATAAATAGTAGTTGAGAAAATAAAGCAGTATATGTGCAGATATAACACCAGCATCTAATCCCAGTGTGACTATGAACAAAAAACTCAGTGGAACTCAAATGTGGTAAGTCAAATTTCCAGTTCACCTCTCAGGTGTGTCAGTTTCACCTTTCACCTCCCAGGAAGTCTTCCCTGATTGCCTCAGTGCCCTCTCCTCTCTCTGAGTTTCAGCAGCACTTAATGACTTAGCACATGTCACTTGGGTTATTCATGAGCCATATGCACGCACATGAGACCCAGTACACAAAAACTACAAACTGCTGCTCAGTACATGCACATGCATGCATGTACACACACACAGGGCAGAGAGTATAGACTGGGTTTCTCCCCCATGCTTTACACCACACACTGAATACAGATGCTTAGTTAATACTCCCCAATGGTGATGATGAGGATCAACAGACATCTTTTTTTTTTTTTGAGACAGAGCCTCAAGCTGTCCCCCTGGGTAGAGTGCCATGGCATTACAGCTCACAGCAACCTCCAACTCCTGGGCTCAAGCGAGTCTCCTGCCTCTGCCTCCCAAGCAGCTGGGACCACAGGCGCCCGCCACAACGCCCGGCTATTTTTTGGTTGCAGCCGTCATTGTTGTTTGGCGGGTCCGGTATGGGGATTCAAACCCGCCACCTTAGGTGTACGTGGCTGGCGCCTTAGCCGGTTGAGCTACAGGCGCGGAGCCAACAGACATCTTTTGGGTTTCAAACATGAAAGGTTAAATGGTTCTTACAACAAATCTAAGATACTGTCTAAATAGAAAAGGGTCATAAATTCGAATGCCTAAAGGCACCAATTAGGCAACCTGCATAAGGTGGGCCAGTGTAGGATGGTAAGGAATAGAAAAGACTGTGGAGAACTGGACCTAACACCTTCACTATGCTGCCTTTAGGACCAGCCCTAAGCCTGAACCACAGCTATGTTGTTGGAATCTCAGTGATTTATTCTAACCCCTTTATAAATGGGGAAACTGAGGCCCCAAGAGGGGAGGTGAATCAGCTAGACAAAAACTGAAAACAAAAAACCCAGGTCTCCTAATCCCCAGCCTAGGACTCTTCCTACCATATTATGCTCTCTCCCTTCCCAATCCCAATACTCATCATCAAGAGTCATAAATATTTACTGATCAACTACTGGCATGGGGCATAAGAATGAAGAGCAAGGAAAGAAAGATAGGAAATAGCTCTGACTTGTATTCTGATAAGGAAGAGCTTTCCGAAGAATAGCACTGAGGCAATCGTGCCCTCACAGTACAGAGTGAAGGGAAGAACGGTAAACTGCCAAGCTACCTAGAGCCTATGCTAACCCTGGTGGGATAGCTAGGCTTCTTTCAAGCAGGCACTACTCCTGCAATTCTACTAGCTACCACCAGGGGGTAGCCTCAGGCCGTTGCAGAAAACTAGTCAGATTAAAAATCTGACCATTGGTGGCAAGCTCAGAGGCCTATCATGTGGGTCAGCTCCGACACAGGCATAATGTAAAGTCTAAGTGTCAGAGAAATTCACTAGCCAAAAAAAAAAAAAAACCCCTTATATTCCAGAGGATGCGCTGAGTACAGCAAACAAGGGTCCTGGACACAACCCAGTAAACACATCAGCACTGTTGAGCAAGAAGTGAAGAAGAGAAGGTAACCCTCCTAGAACCAGAACCCAATTCACAGGGCTCTAGATAACCCCATGTCCCCAAGTTATGGGGTCCTTGAGGCATCTAGTTAACCCCACATGCAGCAAGTCAGAGAGTCTGAAAGGGGAGAAACAGGTCATCAGCCTACCTAGGTCAGATCTGGGCTTAGGATACCCCAGCCAGATGGTACTACTGGCCCTGCTAGTCCCAGGCACTGGAAAGTGGCCTTAGAAAATGTAAAGAGACCCATCAGCACACTACTGCTGTCCTCGAAATATGTCCCTCTCCATACACCCACAACTCCCTATTCCTCGGAGTAAGCAGCATGGTCCTGGGAAATGTTTAAACCACCAAACATCTCCGGGGAACCTCTCCAAAGACCCACACTGAGGGAGAAAACGTACAAAGATGGGGTCTTGGCCAGAACAAGCTTCTGTAAGAGATAGCAATGGAGTGGGGGGTGGGAAGGGACATGGCAAGGGCAGAGGGAAAGAGCAGAGACAGAGTCTGAGCAGTGGATGCACAAAGAGCCTGGGGAAAGTGGGAGAGAGGGAAATAGGCACCCAGATTACTTACAAACCTGTCCTCTGTTTCTCTGTAGGGAGTTAAGAGAAGTTTTTTTGAGGAAAGTAGCCTAATCCAACAGGAGTTTTTGTAAAGTTATCAGTGTTGGGAGTGGCCCCATTTGTAAATGTAAATAGCACATTTCTCACTGGGTTGCTGTGAGGAGTAACTGACATGTAACTTTTGAGAAAGGACTTTGCAAACCATTAGGTGCTTCTCACACTAAGGCATTACCAACAGGTGATTAAACAGGTGCAGAGAGGAAGTTTGAATATAATATACCGAAAAAAAAAAAAAAACAAATTTGCCCTGTTTTATGGAAGCTGTCCCTATAACCTGGTTTCTCCTGGATACAAGGTTGGAGAAGGGGTAATTTTTGCTTAAACCCTGACAGTGGTCCCTGACTCCCGCCCTTACCAGCAAGAATTCTACCTTATCTGCTGTCCCAAGATCTCTCCAAAGGAGCCACTGCGACACCCCGTCCGCACCAGCTGCTCCTATATTTAGTTACTGGTGTGGTCAGCTGAGAACTTTAGAGCCTGGCAGCCACTCCAACGAGCAACCGGAGCCTCCAGAACCATATGTGCAAGCTGCCCCCATCGCTGGCTCCAGCTGGCCTCTCGACCATGCCAAGCTGGGAGCGGTTGGGGAGGTGAGAGACAGAGGGCTTAACGGAACCCAAGGAGCCTGAAAGGCCCACTTGAGACCAGAGCAGAGCTGACCCACTTTCCCATCCAAAGGAAAGAAGCCTGCTGGCATGATCGGGGCCACCTGGCGCCTCGTTTTTGCGCTATGGGGGTCGGAGAGCCCCGCGCATACTACTTTATGGACATCTAAGCATCCTTGGGCTGCATCTCTCAGGACTCTGCGCTGTGGCTAGCGAAGGTCCCCGCGCCCCAAGCGCCAGGACCCGCTTCACCACCTGGTGCCCATAGCCACCAGGACCGGCAGGCGGAGAATGAAGAGAATAAAGCCGGTAGAGGTGGGGGACACTAGTGATCATGAGAGCCGTGGGCTCCCGCGCTGCCCGGAGGCCGAAAGGCACATTCTGGGACTGGCGTCTGCAGCTCCCCAAAGCGGAAGCAAACCCAGAAAGTGTAGCTTGGGGGATGAAATGCACAGCAACCTCTCCCAGAAAGGGCGCCTCCCCCGGGAATGGAGGCCTGCCAGGGAGCGATTCCCTGGACTCCCTATTCCCTGGCACCGCTGCACCCACTTCCCCGAGCCATCAGGGTCCAGCAGCAGGGTGCAAGCAAGAACCGGAGCATGCCAGGCCCCTTGGCACTGCAAGAGCCGCGGCCGGTGCGCTGCTGCTCTTTTCCACCGGGTGACCTGGGGGAGGGGAGAGTAAGCTGCAAAAACCGGGACACTTCTATCCCTCTCTCCCCCAGCCCCTACAACGCTTAGCCTCAGACTACGTTTACTTTGCGGGGCACCAAGCGTGTGGCCCCATTCCGGGCAGCTTTCGGCTCCACTTACGGCGACAATGCCTCCTAGCGCCCTGCGCAGCGCAGTCACACTCCCTCGGCCGCCGGCGGCGCCCCATGCAAGTTCCGAACCCACAGGGCGGGGCGCGCGGAGTTGCGGGATGTGCGCGCATAGCCGCTCGACCAATCGCTGCGCCAGGACGGTCGCCGGGGCGGGAGCAGGCCCAGGGCCCAGGCCTCGAACAACCAATCAGCGCGTTCCCCCTCCCTCCGCGCCCGGCAGTAGCGCGCGCCTAAAGAAGGCCCGCGCGTTCCCGTTGATGGAGAACATTCGCTTTGTGTGCGGCTTCTGAAGAGAAGACACCAGGGATGAGCCGAGGTGTAGACCGGAACGTGCAGCGCATTCTAGGGTTAACACACAGAGGCTCCAGATTCGGTTTTACCGAGGAAATGGAGTTGAATTAACCAGATCAGCGGTAATTTGAAAAATGTCAAGATGAAAAATAGGAAACTTTTTATCTGATGCCTCCGACGCCCATTCAGCTTTTTAGAGACAGTAATTTCTGGCTACACTAAGTTACCTCACCTCTCTAACGCCTTATGTTCTTAACTATAAAATGGGAATTAAAATATATAAGCATCTACTTCACAGGTATTGCTAGGATTAATGCTTGGAATATTTAACACAATGCCCACGCCCAGCCGTGATAGGCGCTCAGGGAAGGGACACTGTTTCTCAGGCCTTGGTTTATGGTTTGTGAAGAACTTACCACAGACCCTTCACAGGTCATAGAAGACAGAAGAGATGAGGCAACTGCCTAAACCAGATGATGACAGTGTCAAATGCTGTAAAGAAAGGAACTATATATCAAGTTTGGAGGAGGGAGCCTGAAGAAAGCACATTTAATTCTGCTTCTACGGGGTGGCAGACAAGGAAAAACACATTCCCTTGGCCTTGATGGATGTTAAGGGTTAAACTCTGCCCCACCACCACCACCACTAACCCCCCCCCCCAAAAAAATACATTGAGGTCTAACTCCCTGTACTTTAGAACGTGACCTTATTTGGAAATAGAATCACTGTAGATGTAATTGGTTAAGATGAGGTCATACTGGAGTAGGGTACACCCCTAATCCAGTGTGCCTGGTGTTCTTAGAAGAGATGAACACACAGGGAGAACACCACAGGGTGATGGGAATGAACACTTACAAGCTGAGGAACACCAAAGAGTGTTTCACAAGGGTTATAAGCCAGGAACAGGCAAGGAATACTCCCTCAGATCCTGCAAGAAAGAACTAGTCCATCAGGTATCTTGATTCAGACTTATAACTCCCAAAATTGTAAGTGAATAAATTTCTGTTGTCGTGTCAACCTGTTACAGCTGCTTTAGGAAACAAATGCAAACACATTAGTAGGAATAAAAGAAAGATGATGGTAAATATCTCCAAAGTAAGTCTTTCAAATCTGAATGCTTAGTACGGGCAAGGCCCCACTTCCCAAGGTATACTAAGATGAATTACACAGACTGCCCTCAAGGGGTTACCAGTTGAAGGCCAGGCACAGTGGCTCATGCCTGTAATCCTAGCACTCTGGGAGGCAGGTGGATTGCCTGAGCTCACAGGTTAAAGACCAGCCTGAGCAAGAGCGAGAACCCATCTCTAAAAATAACTGGGTGCCTACAGTCCCAGCTACTTGGAAGACTGAGGCAAGACAATCACTTGAGCCCAAGACTTGGAGGTTGCTGTGAGTTATGATTCCACCAAAACTCTACAGAGGGCAGAGGGTGACAAAGTGAGACTCTATCTCAGGAAAAAAGGTGGGGGGAGTTACCAGTTGAGTGGATGCCTGAGCGGGCATGTTTTCAGACCCACATTTACCGCTGAATTTCTGCTAGATATATACCAGCTGCCAGCTATAAGTGCCAGCTATAAATAACAAATTGATAAAGTCCCATTCTACCCAAACCAAAATGCTTGTTACTCTGGACAAAGCAGACACAGCTACTTCTGTTTTACTGAGAATTAGCCTGACATTTCTGGCCAACCTTTGCACATAGATGTCTTCTCTCCCCTGCTGGGCTGCAGGCAGACCCAAGATAGCTAGCACAGTGGTTCTGTGTACATTGTAAGGGTCCAGGAAATACTGCTGGTAGATGGCCCCAACCTGGGGTTTCCCACACTCATGCTTTATCTTAGCAAGTCCTCTGCCCTAGGAAGTTTATCCTGGATCCTCTAGCCCCACAGAGACAAGATTATTCCTTGCCTCAAATGCCACCTCTTTTATTCTCTTTTTTTTTTTTTTTTTTTTTTTTTGAGACAGAGCCTCAAGCTGTCACCCTGGGTAGTGCTGTGACATCACAGCTCACAGCAACCTCCAACTTCTGG